CCTGTGCCAGCCGTGACCCAGCAGCACCCCAGCCATCCAGGCTGCCTTGCAGGAGATGGTGCCGACAGCGTCGCGGGAGCGTCCGGCCGGCGCCTCAGCCTCCGCAGCTGCGTGGCGGCCGAGAAACAGCCACAAAACAATAAAAACGCTTTCTGCCTCTCTTATTTGTCACTTTGGCAACTGCATCTGCCCTCCTGCGAGCCCTCCTGCTCCTCGTCTTTGAGCAGGAGGCTGTTTCTCCAGTCTCTCTGTTTCCTTGCCTGCCTTGGCGCTTTGGTGGTGCCTTCCATTCTGGGGCTTTCAGGCTAGAACATCCATAGGTTGAAACTAGTTTTGCAAAGGGAGTAAACCTGAACTGGTTTGATTAGGTTCTTGCTGTGTAACAGCTTCAGGTTAACGGATTTCCTGAGCCACAGAAGCCATTTGCTTTTTGCTCTCTCTTCTTTACCCCTTGCTCTTCTCCTTACAAATAAATGGCAAAGGACACAAAGGAAGAGACTTCCTTGTCTGACAAGTGCTTCCCTAGCGCTTGTCACAAACACATTTTAAGTAAAAGAGCCATGGAAGTGACTTACAACATGGAGGAGCACTGTTATGTTATTTGGTCCCCGAGCAACAGAGATGTAGCTGCATCTCTTGCCGGAAGGATCCCTGCCCTCTGGACAGGACTAGTTAGATGCACTCTTAGCTTTTTTCATGTGCTATGTCCTTCTGACGAGTGATGGGAACTGGAACACAACTGGTGACTTTCAAGATTTATAACCTGATCTTTCTACACCTTTGGGACTGCATATTTTGAGGCTCTGTGTTGTGTAATTCATGTTTTGTAATGCCATCGCAGTCTAATGATGAATATGACTACAGATGTTTCATTACCTGATAGTTCATAATACAAATGGAGCCTCTTCCTGCCATCCTACCACCAAGTACTAACATCCATTTTGCATGCCTTTTATAGATGAGGTGAACAAGCCATTTTTAGGTTCCTACCCCTCTAGCAACAACTCATCTTCAAAAACAAAAGATAGCTGCTGCTTTGCGACAAAAGAAATGGCTTGCAGTGGCAATTGTTTTGCATATGGCAACAAACTGGGCATTCATAAACTCCTGGGATTTTGTTGCTGTATTCGTCATATTTACACAATAAAGATCACAGTAAGTATTGAGTGGAGTGCAAGCTAATCTGGAAGCTTTGTAATAAATCCTTAGGTACAACTATGCAAGAGAAAGGAACTTCTGAAAACCTCAGAAGCATTCCAAAGAATTCAAATAAGGCACCAAGTACAGGCTACTCTAAACAAACAACTATGAATGACTGATTCAGGCTACCTTAGTGAACACACAGACTGAGTTCCCTTGTGTATGACAAACAGCTTCACATTCTCCAGACACTGGCTTTTTCTCATTATATTTGCAGTTACTGATGCATGCTGGCTGTTTCCTACTTGTTTTCCTGTGACGACTAACTTTATTTTCTTTCTTCCCATCATTCTAAACTCTAACAAATATCTTGGGTCACCTGTGTCACAAACCTATAAACTTAAAATTGCATTTAATACAATCCTCCTTGTAGAGTATCCATGTCCAGAGAATCCATACCCTATTTTTTGATGCTGTTTGCCTCTGCAAAGGGCTGAAGAGAACAATTCAGGAGACAAGTTTCAGTTTCTAAATCTGCTCGCATTCTTCAGAAGAGATAGAACTGAGATATTAACCATGTGATCAGTGAAAACTCAATAGCAGTCACTCAAGAGAAAGGCTATTAACTTTTTGGCAGAAGTCCAAATTTCTTGCTTTCTGCCTGGATTATCCCTTCATTTCAAACAACTACAGCAGTTATCATTGTTCTGAGATCTTACACAGCATGATATAACCTCCTCATTGTTAAAATGTACCAAGAAACAGCTTAATTCCAGTAACAGATAACAACACTCACTTGTAAAGTACACCTAAGAACAATGGCAAACATTTGACAATGAGTTAGGAAAACAGTTTTACTACATCAGCAGTTTAAAGTCTATTCGTGTTTTGTGTATATGCACAAGATGACACAGAGAAGTGGTTGTGTACAGAATTTAGCACGGAATTTGCTGACCTTGCCCAGTCCATCAACTTTTTTGAAAAGGTGAGCTATGACTTAAATACCTTATTTAAAATCCATTTATTATGTTACCAACATGCTAGTGTTTCAAGCTGCTAACAGGGGAAAGCTGACAGTTTCATCCATCTGTGATTACTGCACCATCCCATTCACCATTTATTGTGAAATCTCAGTAAACCATATTTGAAAACACAAAAAAATCCTCCTTCAATTACTGTAGTAGTTTAGAGGTGAAACCTAAGAATGGTAACTAAGCATGAAACACTGTGGATGTGCTCTGGAGGTGCAGTACAGTAGTGGTTTAAGTGGGATAAGAGCAGCGCTCCCCTCTTGCCTCCTTTGGTGTAACTTGGTTAATGGAGATCATGAACTAGATTTCTCTCAGATAAAACTGAACTGGAAAACACACTTCAGCTTCAAACGAGTATTTCATCCCCAAGGTTAGACTACAAATAATTCAGACTAAAGAACTCCGAGATGTGTACAGCACAGATGTCAACTCCTCCATTTCAATTGTTTTGCTGTATGAATCTGCTCCTACTGAGCTGCACTAGCCATTAATGCCATGTCCCGGTTTTGGTTAAAAAAGAAATGATTCTCTTTTAGTGAATATTCCTTACAGCTAAGTTCTTCTAAGAAACTGCATTTTTCTGAAGCTGGCTGCATGTTTTATAGACACTGTCCGCTCCAAAGCTGGTAACACCTCATGTTTATAGTTATACTGAGCTAATGGTAGGAAAGGAATGCAGGAAAAGGCCCTTCTTTACAATTATCACTATAGCAGCCAAGGTCACCGATAGGCCATTTAGACTCCAACTGAAAAGTCGGAAGGGGTCGTACTTGCGGGGAGGGGCGGACAGGACAGGTGACCCCATACTGACCAGCGAGGTATTCCATGCCATGCACGTCATGCTCGGTTTAACGCTGGGGGACCACGAGGGTCTTGCTCTCTTCGTCCATGGCCGCCTTCTGAAGAGGACCCTGCTCGCTGTCCTGCCTGCAATCCTGATCCAGATCCTGATCCGTGTGTCCCTGAGCCCAGTTCCCATCTGCTGCCGAGGCCATTCCAGGACTGCCTGGTGCTGCCTGGCAGCTGCTGGTGGGACGCCAGTGCCCGGCACCCAGCTCCGGGAAACTCAGTGTCAGTTTTGTATATTTTGTTTCATTTATCTCATTATTAATGTTATTAGTAAAGCTGTTTTAATATTCAATTTGTAAGTCTCTCTCGCTTTTCCTCCCTTTTCCCTTCTCCTGGCGAGAGGGCAGGAGTTAGCAGACAGCATCTGCCACTCTGCTTATCGGCACCCTGCTCCACACGGCGACAGGCAACATAGCTGCAAACACACTGCTTCCTGATGGATTACGGATGCCACGAGCATATCAGTTTTATAAAACACTTATTCGCTACAGCACAGACCTGTGAACTTTTTTAGGCAAATCCAATCAAATTGCTCTTTTAAGAAGCAAGGGGGAATGCTACGTTCTTGAAAATCTTTGAGATTTGCAATTCGTCTTTGAAACATAAGATGTTGCACTTGCTAAGTACTTGTAGTTGAACACCAAATTTAAAAAAGAATTTTCCACAAAGGGAAAGAAATCAAACACATACCTTATTGCTTCCTCCACAGATTGGCCAACTATGTTTGAGGAGGGACCTGGCTGAGACAAAGGTGTCAGGCTTATCACCCACTTTACTGGCTTGTAGTACTCATCACTAGAACTCAATAGGTAGAACAGCGTGGTCAGAAAAATCACCTGTAAAACAAATTAGAGTTTTAAATTAAAAGGCAATAAACACTTTCCAGAACTACAGTATGCAGCTATGCTTCAGATATTGAACTTCATTGGAAAGGCACAAAATACAAGCTTGGATTTAGAGAAACACACAGAGTTAGAAGAGTAACTTTCTCTCCTGCTCCACAAAGGACTTCACAGTTATAGCTAAACATTATAAAACTTCTAGCCCTCTTCAGCCTCTTCCGAAAGTCATATCTAGATCAAACAACTAGAATCCAGATCATCTAGATTAACAGTCTAGTTGGGTGGGGTTTTTTTTGTTTTTTCCAGCATGTTTAGCAGCTCAAAGAATTGCTGAATAGTAACATCCATTCTTAAAACAAACCCAAAACAACAAAAAACACCACCACTGAAAAACCATTAAAACTGCCAAATAAATTTGAGTTGTCTCAAGAGTCATTATGCACCTGGATATCAGATGCGAATTAAACAAAAACTTACAAACATAAAATTTATAATATTTATTAGGCTGGCAATCCTGACTGAATACTCCTTCTGTGAGTTTGAAGATGACTCTCAGCAGAAGTGATGGCAGTTCCACTGTTTAAAGACCAAAAAAGTACAACCGGATTGTATTAGCTTCCCGCATGTTGTAGTCCACTATGTTTTCCTTATTTTCTCATTAGTGGGCTCAGCAATTTCTTAGGCTAAGCGTACATCACAGAAATGTGTCCAGCTTGAAACAGAATACCTCAAACAAGGAAAATCTATTCTATATGCTCCAATGGCAGAACATGGCTTATATCTGCTTCACCTGCAAGCCTTAGATCTTTTTATTTTCTTCCCAAGATCAAAACCAATTCTTTCACTTTTCTTATTGCCAAGCTACTCGTATGCTAGAATAAACCACATCTTAATCTTCTGATAAGCCAAACCTCCTTAAGTCTCTTACTTTCAAGCATTTTATCATGCCCTTTTCCTGCATTCTCTCTGAACACGCTCGGGAAAAAAAAACACAACAAAAACCACGCAGACAGCAAAACATGCAGCATTCCATTACCAGTCTCAACAATGCCATCCATTTGTTTTTGTTCCTAATTCCTTTCTACTCAGTGAAATGTTACTATCCATTCCCCCACCGTCCCAGCCTTTAATTTGGAAGTCACACTCAGCTGTTCACCTCCTGTGACCCCTTTCTAAAATGTCATATATAGGTGTAGGCTGTATTCCACCTTCCCATCTGGAGTCCTGTGTCCAGTTCTGGGCTCCCCATTTCAAGAAAGATGAGGAGCTACTGGAGAGAGTCCAGAGGAGGGCTACAAGGATGATCAGGGGACTGGAGAATCTCTTCTACGAGGAAAGACTGAGGGGGCTGGGCTTGTTCAGCCTGAAGAAGAGAAGGCTGAGAGGAGACCTAATAAATGCTTATAAATATCTCAAGGGTGGGCGTCAGGAGGATGGGGCCAGACTCTTTTCAGTGGTGCCCAGCAACGGGACAAGGGGCAACGGGCACAAACTGAAGCACAGCAGTTCCATCTGAACATGAGGTAGAATTTCTTCCCTCTGAGGGTGACGGAGCACTGGAACAGGCTGCCCAGGGAGGTTGTGGAGTCTCCTTCTCTGGAGATCTTCAAGACCCACCTGGACAAGGGCCTCTGCAGCCTGCTCTAGGTGGCATTGCTTCCGCAGGGGGGTTGGACTAGATGACCCACAGAGGTCCCTTCCAACTCCTACCATTCTGTGATTCTGTAACTTCTGCCTTGAGTCATAAACCAATCCATCTACTAAAACAAGCCATTACATCTGCACATTTAAACAGCATACTATTAACACTCATTTTGAGATCACAGAAGAGACCGAACCGAATTAGGCCTTATTTTAATGGGAAATAATCCAGAGCCAGTAGCAATATCAGCTACGTTTTGTTACAATTTCGAATAAGTAAATCTTAAAAAGCTGAATCAGATTTTAGCATCTTCTGTAATGCTGCAAGTGTGCTTATTTTCTCCTTGATAGGGCTTGTCATTTCTCCTAAGCTACTGTAATATTTCCGCTAAAAAGTTCCCTATGCTGAAGGGGGCATCCAGGTGGTGTTCTGTCTTCCTTCCACTGGGATCTGGCTACAGATCCCTCTTGCAGTGCAGTTTTCAACACAGAAAGCAGCATATTGCTCCGAGTACAATATCCGCTCATCCTGACACTCACAAAAAGCAAAGCGAAAAGCAGCTCCACTGAACTTTGTTTTATTGGGACAGCCTCCGTTAACTTCTGAAGATGTTGCCTTTTGAAAAGACAACGGCAGCCAGGGAACGAGCAGATTAACTGCAGCAAACAGGCAAAGCTTGTCCCCCTGTGGTATGAGGAACATACAGAGCTGACTTGAGGCAGGCTAGGAATAAGAGCTGGGGCTTAGTTCAAGTGGCAACACGCACAGCGCCTGCACCGAGTGGCAACACTGCTCTTCCCCACTGTTTACAGACAAAACTTGCTTTCTTAGGGAGTAACAGCACACCAACATACACATACCCACCTGAACTGTAAAAGCCAAAGTGACAGCTGGGGATGAACAGCAATGCAACAAAGTGGTGTTAAACTGAACTACAAGCTAGGAAAATATACAATCCTAACTCAATTTCTGTTACGACAAGATGCGTGCAACCACAGCATCATACAAAATCAACTGAGTTTTAGATTATCTGCACTTTGAGAAATTAACGTATTTGCTTTAGCTCAATAGGTACAGAAACACAAAAAGAAGTAGTAATCACAGAATATAATAATTTATTATCAAGTGATAATAATTGCTGACTCTTCGAACAAGTAGAATAGCCTCAATAGTACATTCAGCAGCAAAAAGATACGTCCTACCCTACATACACTGGAGTCTGAAAATTTTCAGACCTTTTTACAGGATATCTGACATTCCAGAAATTACCTAAATTGTTTCCTAAGCAACTATTCAAGATCCTGCTGATGACTACGAGGAGGAATTTATCAAAGACAAAATAATAAGATCTTTCCATTTTTAACAATTGATGGATTACTATTTCTTGCTGTAGAATTTGTTCTGTAGCTCAAAATATTAAATACTTTAAGGGGGGATAGACTGAATTCAAGGAGAAAGCTACAGGTAAACATTCTATGCCAAAATGGTAATTCAGTACTTCCACATATATCAAGAAACGCATGACTTAATTGCTTGTGCATCAGGTCCACAGACTTGCATAATATTTTTGTATTTGCATTTCATACACAATTTTCTGGCCAAGATCTATTTTTTTAGTGTTTTTTTTTTTTTTTTTTTACAGCATCAGAAATTTGCATATTCCCCATAGGACTGTAGATGTCCATCAAGGCAAACAGAGCTTTTCTCTTCCAGTCTTTGTAACAGAGTATGCGTGCGTGTGCATGTGCAAGTGTACATGTGTGTATATATACACACATACACAACGGCATATCTATACATCCACCCACGTGCCTGCATGTGCAAATAGGAACTTGCACTCAGAAGTGAAACAGCAGTAGCACTCTTCTAACTAATGATCGGTTTCAAACGTCTGTTGAAGATCTGAATACAGTCTTACTGGATCATGGATGGATATGCTACACAGGTTACTTCCTACTGAATGTTTTGATGGAAGATGTCTTTTGCAAAATGTTGGTTCTGAATAAAGTATCCATTATTTCTATGTTTTAAAGCACAATTTTTAAACCATTTATCAAAATAGAATTCGCTATTTTAATTTTTGAGATGACTAAAACTGGACTAAAATGTAATCAGTTGACAAGCTAACCACTTCAGGAATTATCTTGTTGGAAAATTTAAATTAGTTTGTGCCACTTCAAAATAGTAAAAACTCTTCTGTAGCAACTAAGAATCCTGCAAAATGAAAAACTAAGAGTATATTAAAGCTGGAGTAGTGCTTTCTTTTAAACACTCTAAAAGCTCTATCTAGACATAATTTACAATAATTCCTTCTGTTTCACATTTAGGAAAAAAAACTTCCCCCAGTAGCCCATTAAAATGTATCTTTTGTCAAAATACAGACATGGCGTTTTCAAGAGTCAGCTTTTTCAGCTGACACTGCTGGCTGGACCACAGTAACACAAGAAATGTGCTCAAATGCTGCCTATCTAACTTTACGGTTCAGTCTGCTCAAAATGTAAAAATTCATTCCAAAACTGCATGAAAAAAAGAGATGGTGAAAGGATATTGGGCCAGGTAGCAATCAACGCTGCAGCAAGCAAACCAGAACAATCAAAAACTCTGAAACTATTTGCCCTCACATTCAAAAGGAACTCTATACAAAAGCTCTTTCTCCTTACTGAAGGATACTGAGAGTTTTCCCAGGAAACTGTGAACTACTTAATTCAAGACCTTCCAAAAGAGAGCAGAAAACAGCTCATGCTGAAACCTCAGCTTAAAATAAAACCTAAACTTTTAAATCCGCCCTTGGAAAGCAAATTATTGAAAAAAAAAAAAATCTCACTACAGCAAAAGATGTAAGTATGCACTGAGACCCCAGAAGAACAGAACTGTTAAGGCCACTTCTGGTCCTCTCCTCTCTTGGAGAGTGTTTTTCTTTAGCTCTAAAGGAAGGAATGGGAATAGCAGGTAAATCTAACAAAGACATAATACCAAATGGGATGGGGTAACAATGCACATCATAGAAGTTATCCTAGCTTTTCTCTGCTATCCTAGATTTTCTCTGCTTCTTGCCTTAAGCTGTTGCGGCAAGGAAAGGGGAAAAAAAAAAGGCACAAGAAAAAATTAAGAAGCAGTTATATTATTTCCACATGGACTCCATGACAGTTGAGTTATCCTAAAAAGTACTTTAAAGTTCAACTGAATTCTCACAACTATCATTTTCATTTACTTATTGCTCCAAATAATGGACTGTACTAATCTTTACTTAGGGCAGGCTATTTACTGAATATCCTAAATTGAAGTCCTTTCTCTTTCAATGATAAGGTGTTAACAAACCGATGCTAAACACTATTAAAACAAGTCCCATTAA